TGAACTTCTTCCTGGAGGGCACTGTCACTGCTGCTGCCACGGGCTGCAGGACAGAGGAGAAGTGTCACTCATAAAATTTCATACAGCTCTGATTAAAACATTCAGGTAACTGAGCCCATTTATTCCCCACAAATTGTCCTTAAGCTGTGACAGTTTTTGAGTCTAGGCTCTGTTTCCCTGTAATCTTTAAGTAGAAAAAAAAATTCATAATATGATCGTTTAACAGAATAGTTGAGATAAAGAATTGAGTAGAAGAAAATTACATGTGAGGCACCAGAAAATGGGTCTAATTTTGCAACTTTCGCACACTCCTGARAGCGTGCATTTGAAAAGCCAAGCAATCATCACAGTTTATCTCTGTGTGACATTTCCAAATGCTATTTATACATTTTCTGGGTCAGTCTTTTATGAAAATAGCCATGTATACCAGCTATCTAATGACCTGGCATTTGAAACCAATTCAATTTAAATTTGATGTTAGGGGAAAACCAATACACTTACCACATTTTCGTTCTGTAACTCTAGTTGTCATCTTAATTTGTCTGGAAACATCTTTTTATTTTCCAGGGATACCTCATGGGATACAAAGTAGCATAAATCATTCTAGCTCATCTACCACTGGGAATTMCTGTTGAGGGTAAATTTTGGCCTAGTTAATATATATCACAGTGGTACATAAAAACAGCTCCAACATTGCCCTTAATTTTCTCCAGCAMCTATCTGCATCGCATGGAGAAAGAGTGAGAAATCAGCTGTTCAAAGCTGAACTGGGCAGCAATTGAAAAGAGCACTGTTTTGTAATTTGTTAGCAGAGATGGAAAGTTTATGGTTTGCATTACGTTGGCACACACCCTCCTCTCTGTTCTACACCTGAAGTTTTCTGTAGGCTCCATGGGAGGCTGAAATGTCTGGGAAGGCATGYCATGAGTGTGACATGGCTCAGGGACTCTTGGACAATGATCTCTTTTTGTGTTCTCCACCTGAAGCATGAAAGAGAGAAGGAATTTGCCTCATTTAGAGGGAAAAAATCTTATTTCATATTGCTTGAAGTGTCATGGATAAGTCAAAAGGCAAGCAAAGTTGGGACCGCTCCTGACTTTTGTTTGTTTCCATATTCCCAAAAATACATGACAATGCATCARGGCTCTAGGGATCTTCTAGACCAGTTTGCATCAACATGCTGATGCCAGCATTTAACACAGAGCATGGGTTTGTGTAACAGTGTGTGTGCTGTATGATTAATTTCAGTGCATTTCTAAAAGAGTTTTTTTGATTATATAAATTCTCACAAGCTGCTGTGTTCTGATTTTGTTTATGAAGTCTGTTGGCATATTTATTGAAATTGTCAGAGTACTTCAAATCTCCCAGAAATCCCAGCCTAATGATTTAACCAGGAGTCACAATTTTTTTTTTCATTTTGGATCCAATGTTTAGTTTTACCCATGGAGTGGGCACAACTCCTAGGCAGGGAGCTTTATTCACCTGTGACTGCATCCAATGAACCACAATCTCTTTGCAAAGCAAGATCAGATATAAATCTTTGTTCCATTTCCTGATAAATTCTGCTTAGGATGTAGAGATCTCATTAAACAATTTAGAATTTTTAAAGAGATGTTAAAAAAATTCAGCTTTCTTTGTAAAGGTTTTTGATATTTCTTTTTAACCAGTTTTGACATACTGCATTATCCCACCATAACTTATGAATCACAGGAGGTTGATATTCCCCGYATACTCTTGATATCCTATTCACCATTCTGAAAAGGTTCCCTACAGGGAAAGGAGTGTGTAACCACAGTGTCTTTATCATTTGACAAGCATTGTCTCTTCAAATCCCTTTTAATTTTTATAATCTTTGCAGTTAAAGAAAACTCATCATTTTGGCTACTCCATCCGAATGTTAACAATGAAAAGCACAAACCTTCTTTATTCTGCATGACAATGAAGGCAGAGCATTTAAAATATTTGTTAACATAATAGCAATATCTATTATTGCTTAATATACTTGTAAATCCAGTCTTAAACAGARATTTTTAAGCAAAATAAAACTTCAAGAACTTTAATTTTCTGTTTTATTTAATGCTGTCTAGAATATCTGTAAAATACTGACAAATTTTGCGGACATATTTTATCCTGGTTAGATTTTTTTTTCAAATTAAATACTTAAAGATAGTATTCAGTCACACTTAAGTCAGTTACTCTTTTGTTATTTACATTTTTTTTTACTTTATCACGATGAGTTCTGGCTTCCAATATGTCAAAATTATGTGCAAGAAATAAAAACTGGAAGTTGTTCAGTTAACAATTTTGATGTTGCAACTGTCACTCACTAACTATAAAATTTATATGTATACAGGGCCAATGAAAACAAGAATTTGGTCTCCACAAATTTAACCTTGTATTGTAATACATGTATTAGGGCTCTCCCTCAAGATAGCCTTAGCAATCTTCAGGTATTGTATTTTTAGTTCCAGTGCTGTATTTGCAGATACAAAGTCTTTTACCAAGGTGTTACTTTCTTTTTTTTCCACTTTTATCCTAATTAAATATCCCGTTTTCCTTAATTATGTTGCCTCAAAAGGAGTTTGCTTTAACAGCTAGGTCAGTGGCCTGAGAAAGAAAGATTCTAATTTAATACCACCTTCCTTTGGCAAGGTCTTCACCATGTTTGTGTCCTTAACAGAAAGCCTGGGAGAAATGTTCTTTTGCAAACATTGTTAGCAGTTACATCTTGTTAGCAGCAGCAACTGCAATTTCTTTTGAGCTCCAGGCAATGCACATGCGGAGAAGAGACCTTGACGTKTGCATCCAAAGCAGAATTAAGTTCCCAGGTCTGTCCTGTGTGGTCTTGATCCACATCAACTTCCTCTGTAATGCAATGTTTTCTACTCAGCAGGGTCTGGAATTAATCCAGGATAACCAGGATAGCTGATGCTACCGCAGACACTCTCTGGCCCTTTAATTCACCCATTTTCAGAAGCAAAAATTTTGTTGGTTAAAGAAAATCAGTAGGACTGATATGGAAGACATTGTGCTGAACCTCACTCCCTTTAGCATCAAAGGGGTTGGAACACAGTTGAAATAAAAAAGAAATTAAGGGGTTGTGGTGGAACAYATCTCTACTGTCTGTGGTAAAAATCAAAACTTTCTGAGACTTACAAGGTTAAAGGAAAATAATGGTTTTCACCTAAAAAGGGTCTAATACTTTAATTCAGTATTATCTGTTGCATTGTTAGATCTGTCGACACAATTACCTTATAAATAAATTGATTTAAGAAATAGCCAAGACTTTCTGATYAAGATAAACAGGAAGTTTCCAAGTATATTTATGGAGAACATGATGCAAAGGCTACACAATGGCAACTTCACCCAAATGGATTATAAAGTATCAAAGTGAATAAAATAAAGAGTAATGATGAACAGGAACAAGTAGCTTAAACCATGGACATAATTAAAATCTGCCTGTATAGCATATAATATATTGTTTTCTAATTTTAATATCAAATWGTGCTGATATTGTCTGGAAATAACTTTATATTTGTAATTGTGAAACATTCTGACACGTGAAAAAGTGTATTGAGTTCATTTTAAAGATGCCATATATTTTTGCAGGTTTGAATGTAAAGTATGTAATTTCATAAATTACCTTACACTAGGTAAAAGTAGTTACATTTTGCTTCTAAAAATGCATGGCTTTYCACAGTAGATTTGTGACTTTGTTCTTTAATTTTAAGCTACTTTTCTTAGAGTATTTTGTGAGCAAGTCCCTCTTTCATCTTCTTTCCATTACCTAAACATAATTCCAAGAATGGATTTTCATTGTCTAGCTCTTACACTGATGCACTTTTTATTCTGTAAAAATGCAGAAAGTCTGAACTCCAGATACAGCCCTATATTCATTTTATGTAGGTGCTTGGTTCAACACTTCTAAGAGAAAAATGTTGAACATTGAAATGTAATATTATAACTCCCAAAATTGAGCCCACAGATCAAGTTTTGCACCTTAGTGGAAAATTTATCCAGGTATAATATAAAAGTATTTTATCTGGAGTGTTTTTGCAATCACAAATAACAATCTATTAAAAAATAATGCTATAATCTAAAAGCTGTGTAATTCCCACCAGTTTCATAGCAAAATAATTTGCAGAAATGAACAAGCTGACAGACACTTAGCATTTTAATAACAAATCAACAGTTATTAAATATCTCTGGGCTATATTCTACTGGYTGTTTCTTGACTACAGTCTATTTGAAGAGTCTGAGCTTTGAAATAAATTTTAGCTATACCTCCTAATACAAGTGTTACAAAAGAAACATGCAATGCAAATATTTTCCAGGTGTATGTACTGCACTGCTCTTTGAAATTCTTATTTATTAGCAAATTGTAATTTCACACTCGAGATCTCACAAAAGTAGAGGCACACATTTTCTGTGGTTTGAAAGACTTTGCATTTTCTAGGTTGGGAGGTATAAAGAGAAATGAGAATATAAATGTGAATGAATATAAGAAAAAAATTATTTCTGTTACAGTAGAGCGAAGAGTATCAAGACAGGGAGTATTTCCCAATATTCCTTTAAAACAAGAGAATTTTCACTCTTCTTGTTGCCACCCCCAGAAATTGTAAACACACTTCCATGMCAATCACTTGCAGAAATGTAGGTGAAGCAATTGCAAGCACTCTGTCAGAGCTGAGGGTGTTGCAAAAATGGATAGATAATCAGCATTAAAATTTTAATGTGCAAGTTGAACACAAAAAAAACATAGTTAGTGTTTCCTTTGGTAAATCCAACTTAGAAAGTTGGACTCTCACAGATATTAGAATTTCACAGAAGTTAGAGAGTAGATTCTGAAGGAACAACAAAAGCAGATTTCTTTTTCTAGAGATTTAGAGAGGCTTCTGGGTTTGTCTTTGCCTTTTGTGGCTTTTGCACTGGAGGCACCCAGATAAATGTTTTAAGTTTGATTTTAGAATATAACAAATCTTTTAAAAAATAGATCTTACCTGTGTAACTTCAGGGCCTTCTACTTATAAAGGAATGAATATTGCAAAACTTGCATGAAACATGGGATGCAGAGAAGTAAGCAGTTCTGTTTTACTTCACAGATCCTCAGAAAGCTCTGGGAGTTACAGCTTCCTGCCAGTGTAAGTCACTTCTGCTTTTACTTTTGAAAACTCACAGTATGACACTGCTTACTGCGTGCTATTTTGGGTGCCCTGAGTAAAACTATGAACACAGGCACTTTTGTGCAAAACATCATAAGGCCTCTCTGATGTTCATTCAGAGCTCAGAATTAAAATGCAGAAGGCTCTAGCAAGCAAAATACAAGCTGATTTTCTTCTTCCTAGTGGAAAAATAAAGTACTCCCTGGCAAGTAACCAGGGTGGTGGGAAGGTAATTCATTTTGTGTGAGAGCATTTTGCAAGTGAAAGGGATATGCCCTCTGTTTAGAGATTAGTCAGGGAAAAAAGTGGTCAATTTAGAGCAGTCACAAAAGTTAGTTGAAGAAGAGAGTTTCTACAGTCTGGATTTTGCCCTCCGGCCATTTCTTTCCCACCAAATAATTTAGTTTCAAGAATGATAAAACTTTCACGCAGAGAAAAAAAACACATGCCAAGATATTTGTTTATCTCCTTACATATTTTTAGAAACATTAAATAAATTTCTTTTCTTATAACTCTCTGTGAAAGTTGACTTTTATGTACTAGCTAGTGTTGGGGTTTTATAGCCAAATGAAAAATTATTAAAAAATAATATAATCTAAAAAGGAAAAAGGAAACAATCCCCCCTAAAAATGGTGAAATAAATATGCAACAGGTTATAATTTTTCATAGAGATCATCTTTTATCCAAARCAAATTTAGGAAATTTTGAGCAATAATTAAAATCCTCATTGTACTTTTATAAAGAAATGAGTATATTTGGGGAAAAAAATAACAACTATGTGTTGCAGTAACACTTCAGTAATTATTATGGAGAACATTTTATGGTGGAATAATTTAGAGCCTAGTGCTACATCAGTTATAGCTCCGGGCCAAGAAGATTTCTCAGAAGTCCTAAATGGAAAAATAACAAACTTGACATTTTGTCAGACATAAAGTATTCAGTTAATGGTAAAACTAAAACTAAATAAAAGCTCCAACTCATCTCAAGGAAAGTTCACCCTCCCTTTTTCTTATTCCTCATCCAGTATCAGAAAATTTACCAAGTGGTTCTGTGTAGAAATAGAAAACCTCTTGTCTATATTTCGGTCACATTTATTTTACCTTCCTCTTTTCTGGAAAGTAAATAATTTCTGACCATCCCTGCAGATCTTAGTCAGACATTCAGGAATTTCATGGGCAGAACATGAGAGGTGGSAAATGAGGAAATGTGACTCTTTAGYGTGGGTAATGMTGTWAAACARCACGATTARAMCATGGTCWGCAAAGGGWGAAGTTCTGAWTGATGCAGATGAGCAGTCTGGTGAKCACTGAGTCGCTGTTTACTGCATTTATGTCCAGGTGTCAAGGTCAGATTAGCTGCTTCCAAATAAACACAAATYCCCCTAATATCACAGACTTTAAAACTTGAACTGAATGGGCATGAAGAAATACAGGAAAACTGWCCACCCATCATGTGCATCTTGACAGAGTCAGAAAGACTTGTTCTCTATAGAAAAGTGTTGTGGAAATTTTCTGAGCAGCTGGATATTTGTAAGATTATTCAGAATCCCTTGTCAGTCTTTTCACGATGATCTGATAACTCCTTGYGGATTATCTCATCCTAATGACTTTTGTATAAAAAACAGTTTCTGTATCAGGCTGGAARTTAACATACTATTTATCAACTTATATGCAGTTTTACCTCTAAGTAGATAGATCAGCTAATACGGTTTTATCAAATCAGAGCAAACATGATAATATTACACAGCTTACGGTTATTTGACAATACTGTGTTCCTAGTCAACATTATTTAATTATTTATGTRATTATATATCAAAAACAAGCTGTCAGAATTTTTTCTGCTGCTCTTACCTCAAGCATTTTTGCCTGTGCTAGGCAAAACTTGATTTCTTTGTGTAAAATTTGACATTAGGTTTGAGTAATGGGATTAACATGAACTAAGAACCCATTTTCATTTCTTCTGCACTTTTTATCATGCTTGGTGGGGTTTTTTTGGAGATAGGTTTGGTTTTTTTGTTTGTTTTTGGGGTTTTTTTTAATTATTTGTTTTTTCCAGTTTTTTGTTTGGTTTTTGTTTTGTTTGTTTCTTTATTTATTTGTTTTAAGGCGCAGGAATGTTTGGGGAGAGCTGTTATTTAGTAAGAATGATTACATCTTGCTGWTGATTCATGTTCTGACATCAATTGTACAGAGTGAGGTACAGCTGATGCAAGCCAGAAAAAATGTGAAGGGGAGAAGAACACTCCTGAGATCTATGGAAACTGAAGAAGTGTAATTRGAATTCAGAGATATTTTACCATTTGCCACCTGAAACAACACTTTTTTATAAACTCTGCTTCTCACTGACTTTCTACCAATAAAGAAGTGGTGACATTTCATTCACCAAGGCAGAATGAACTAGACRTAGATGTAAGAAAAGGGCAAAACCATTGGTGACAGTAAATAAGATATTCTCATTTACTCTGAGAATCCTGGGTCCTGTCACAGGGTGTAATCTAAGTAAGATCTGCCATGTGAAGGAAACATAAATGAACACTATGAAGCAAACGAAAATGGAAGTTTCTTGGAAATACTTGTTGAAGAACTGATGAGGGGAACTGCCCAGAATAATGGCAAGGTTTTTGACAAAGTGAAGATAACATGCAGCTATAAGAAAAAAAAAAAAACCACAAAAAAAGAGGTAAAACCTGCACCAAAATAAAAAAAAAAAAAAAAAAAAAAAAAAAAAAAACACACAAAAAAAAAAAAAAAAAAAAAAAAACAAAAAAAAACAAGTAAGAAGGCTAATTCACACAATTACAAGAAAAAGTTTCTCAACTCATAAGAAAACACATATGTATTCCTAGAATAGTGTTCTCATGTGATAAACAGCCTCTGCTTCTCTTTATGCAGGTGCCTGTTAAAGATCAGCAGGCTTTTTGATATTACTATTGGAAGGAAATAATTTGGGCTGCCACTTATAAAGGAAAACTTTTACTCTGTTAGCTCTTTCCTGATCTCACAGACTGTGTTGTCTCCTGCAGAGAGAGACCTCAGCAATATGGGCGAGTTCAGTGGAATAACTCTACTCATCACCTGGGCAAAACCTTACGGAAGATTGGAAGAGATGAGTGAACATATTTTTTAACTTAATAAATAAATGAGTTATTATATAGACAATGGGGACTGATCATTCCAATTAACTGCTTGGAGTATTTTCTTTCACTGTCTCTAATGTAATTAAAAATAGGAATTCTCTGCATCCATGTCCTAGAGCTTGAATTAGATGTTTGCTTAGAGATAAGAGCATGATAATAAATTTGGAATGAAAATGTCAATATAATTTAAAACATGATTATTGATGAGCTAATTACAACATGATATTTATTAATTTCTTTTAAAGGTAAACCTTGGTTCAAATATATGGGCCAATCATATGCTATGGATATACCTGTATGTGCTATAATCACTTGAAGAAATAAAGTCCTAAGAATTTCAGTAGGGTTAATTATCTTTTTTTTTTTTTTTTTTTTTTTTTTTTTTTTTTTTTTTTTTTTTTTTTTTTTTTTTCTTTTTTTTAGGGAAAGTGCATTCCATTTTCCAGAAACTGAATAAAACATTAAGATGGGAAAACCCAGGAAAATTGCTGGGTTTTTAAAAAATAAAGAACACTGTAACAAAAGAAAATAAAGGGTACATTTTGTATTCAAGGAGATACGATCTTTGACATTTGCCTAATTGGACTGATCTCATAAGATTTCGCTCTCTTGGGTCTCTCAGTGGTCTGACACCAGAGCAAGCTGAATTTACGCAGAGAAGGACAGGAAGTGTGGGAGGGAGAGGGATAGAACCCATGAATTCTAGGGGGATGATTCTCCCACGCCACCTCTACCCTAATCATGGCTCTTGTGTTTGGAACTTGCATTTGGAATTTGCATCAAGCTAAGCAGAATTACTCCAGGACAGGTAAATAGCCAGCACAATACTGCTAGAAGGTGAAAATACTGAGAAAATAGGATTCTCATTGTTTGCAATAACAATGAAACCATTCATAGCAACTGTTATCTCTGGAGACTTGATACTGAATTTGTGGGATTTCTGCTATTTGTTTTGTTTTGTTATTGCTAGGATCCTTGCCATTTCTAGACTGACTTTTTAATGGGGATTCTGATAGACAGCTTTTCCTAAAACTACTTACTCATAAAACTGCCTTGCTCACAACCACTTAAGGGAGATATAGCACCAAGAGGATGCAAGTGGAACCGAGACAGAAAAGAGAAGTGAGACCTGGAGGGCTTCATAGTACAATGCTGAATTAATTTCTTTTTTCTTTTTTTAAATGTAACTTTCTTTTTCTTCTGCTTCTRCTTTAATAATTCTGCAACTAGAATTCCATTCTCCCTAAAATATCTTACAAATCACAGCTTCTGGAAGAGAAGCGACAAACTACACATGAGTCACTGTAAATGGATTAACCTACAGTGAGAGTCTTTTCCATTGAATTGTCTGGATTCAGTTTAATAACAATTTTGTGTCTTTTTTTTTTTTTATAGTATTTAATGTTAATTTTGTGTATTTTCTTACTTTTGACATAGCAATTTTTTTTTTTTAAAAAAAAGGGGGAAAAAAGTTTAATTAGTTACAACAAAATGTAATTACTTAAGTGTGTACTGAGTGGCTTGTGTGAAAACTCTGTTGAAATGGTGCATAACCTTTCATTAAAAGAATCTGAATATCTCACAGTAATCAGACCTTTCCAAAGATGTTTCTTTTCTCTTTTACTCTCCTTTTCCCTTATCTTTTCTTTTCTCAGTGAATACTTTTATGATAGAATACACTGTGTTTGGAAAATAATATGCAGCCACCTGATTGTCKTTTTCCCCTCTGTTTCTATTTCCTTCACAAGATAGAATCAAATAAGAATGAATTCAGAGCAGGAAAATCTTCGAGATGATCCCCTGAAGGAAAGTAGTTCTCTTAYTGTCTTACGATTAA